TCAATTTGAACAACTATCTACACACAAAAATACTTTCATAAGAGCTAAGAAAACCAGGTGACAGATCACAGTACCTGGTTACAGCATAAAATGAGAGTATAAAGGATAGTTTTAGCTTACCTGCATCACCCCTCCCTGAACCCCATGCAGCACAGTGTAGAAAAATATCTCACCTGGGTAAAAAACAGGGAAGAAAGAATAGGACTTTACCTTCGACCCTAATACAGGAATTGACACAGTAAAATCAAGCACCAGGCAGATCCACATGGCCTTTGACTGCAGGCCAGTACTAATGGACTAAGCCTGTAGACCTACCTGGTGCCAAATAGAAACCCATAGCTGCTGTGAGATGGATGCAAGCTCTAGCCCATAGCACCACTGGCTGACTACAATGGCCACGAGCTAAAAATAACCCACAGTGACAGGCCTCAGCTGCCATGGCTTCAGTCATGCCTCGGTGCTGCACTAGCCTCAGTGTCCATGAACTTTGGGTGTGCCCCAATGCTGTATCAGCCACACCCACCATAAGGACACCCCCTAGTGCAACAATGTCTGTAGTGGTCACATGCCTAGGGACCACACCAGATGACTTGCCCAGAATCTCTGGACAGGCTTACTAATGAAGGATGTTCCCAGACAAAGCCAGACAGCACAGACTGGAATAAGCACCTACTTCTTTAATGCAGACATTGATATACAACCACAAGGATCAAGAACCAGTGACTGACCCTAAAAATATGGAGATGTATGCACTGCCTGACAACATTTTCAAAGTAGCTGTATTAAAGAAGCTCAATGAACTTCAAGAAAATACAAACAGTTCAAAAAAAAAAAATGAGGAAAACCGTAAGTTACCAGAATAAAAAATGTAACAGAGAGATTGGCATTATAATAACAAAACAGTAATCAGGGAGCTGAAAAATAACTGAATACAAAGAAAAATGCAATAGAGAGAGAGCATCAACAACTGAACTGAACAAGGAGAAGAAAGAATCTGGAATTTGAGGAGAGGTTATTTTAAAAATATACAGATCAGAAAAAAAATTGTTAAAGACAGGGAATGAAGAAAGCTATGGGACTTATGAGATAACATCAAAACAGCAAATGTTCAAAAGAGAGTAGAGAATGATAAAGGGGTAGAAAGATTAAAGAAATAATAGCAGCAAACTTTCTAAACCTGGAGAAACATATAAATATCTGGTTATAGAAAGGTCAAAGGTCTCTAATCCTCCAACTCAATCCAAATAAGACTACCACACAAGATATTATAATCAAACTGTCAAATATCAAAAACAAAGAAAAGAAGGTGAAATCAGGAAGAGATAAGAAACTAATAACATATAAGGAAGTTCTAATATGCCCAGCTTCTCAGCAGAAATCTCACAGGCCAGGAGAGAATGGAATCATATATTCGAAGAGCTCAAGGAAAAAAAAAAAGCCTGCCAGTCAAGAATTCTCTACACAGCTATGCTGTCCTTCCCAAATGAAGGAGAGATAAAGACTTTCACAGATAAACAAAAACAGAGGCAGTTCATTACTACCAGACCTGCCTTATAAGAAACGCTAAAGGGAATTCTTCAAGCTGAAGGAAAAGGACACTAATAAGTAACACAAAAACATCTGAAAGTATAAAACTCACTAGGTACACAAATTCTGAATATTCTAATACTGCAATGGTGGTTTTTAAATACTTATATCATTAGTATAAAGGTTATAGGACAAAACTATTAATAATAACCAAAATAATTTGTTAAGGGATGTGCAATGGAAAAAGATATAAATCGTAATATCAGAAATTCAAGATAGATTCAAAATGGGGGGATAGAGTTAAAAGTTCAGAGAGTTTTTGTGATCAAAGTTAACTTGTTATCAGCTTAAAATAACTTCTTATAAGATGGCTTTTGTCAGCCTTGTAGTAATTACAAAGCAAAAACCTGTAATAGATACACTAAAAATAAAAAGCAAGTAATTAAAACACACCACTAGAGAAAAATCACTTAATCACAAAGAAAGAGTAAGAAACAAAGAAAGGATCTACTAAACAGCTAGAAAACAATTAACAAAATGGCAGCAGTAAGTTCTTACTTATCATTAATTACTTTAACATAAATGCATTAAATTTTCAATCAAAATACATAGAGTGGCTGTATAAAGAAATACGATCCACCTATATGCTGCCTACAAGAGACTCACTTCACCTGTAAGGGCATACGGACTGAAAATGACAGGATAAAAGCAGATATTCCTTACAAATGGAAACCAAGGGAGAACAGGGGTAGCTATGTTTATATCAGACAAAATATATTTTAAGTCAAACACTGTAAAAAGAGACAAAAAAGGTTATTATATAGTGATAAAGGGTTCAATTCATCAAGAGGTTATAAAAATTTCAAACATATGCATCCAATCTAATTAATAATTATGAAAATATTAATAATCTGAAGGAAGAGATAGACTACAATACAACAATAGTATAGTAATAATAGGGGACTTCAGCATTCCCCTTTTACATGGACAGATCATCCAGAGAGAAAATCAACCAGAAAACTTTAGATTTAAACTGAACTCTAGACCACGTAGGCCTAACAGACATATACAGAACATTCTACCCAACAGCTGCAGAATACACATTCTTCTCAACTGCACACATAATATTATCCAGAATAGCTCATATGTTAGGTCACAAAACAAGTCTTACCAAATTTGAGAAGACAGAAATCATATCAAGTATCTTTTCAGACCACAATGGTATAAAACTGGAAATCAGCACCAGGAAGAACTTTGGAAAATTAACAAATACATTGAAATTAAACAACATGAATCTGAACAACCAAAAGGTCTATGAATAAATCAAAAGGTAAAATATTTCATGGGCAAATGGCATGAATAGGCATTTCTAAAAGAAGATATACAAATGGTCAACAAACATATGAAAAAGTGTTCAATGTCACTAATCATTGGGGAAATGCAAATTAAACCCATGATGGTACACCACCTTACCCCAGCCAGGATGACCATTAATAGAAAGTCAAAAAAATAGATGTTGGCATAAATGTGGTAAGAAAGAAAGGAAAGAAAAAAGAAAGGAAAGCAAGAAAGAGAGAGAGAGAGAAAGAAAGAAAGAGAGAGAGAGAAAGAAACAGAAAGAAAGAGAGAGAGAGAAAGAAACAGGAAAGAAAGAAAGAAAGAAAGAAAGAAAGAAAGAAAGAAAGAAAGAAAGAAACAAGAAAGAACGAAAAAGAAAGAAAGAAAGAGGGAAAGAAAAAGAAAGAAGAAAGAAAAAGAAAGAAAGAAAGAGAAAGAAAGAAAGACAGAGAAAGATAGAAAATGGAGGGAGGGAGGGATTTAAAAAGAATGCTTATACATGGGAATGTGAAATAGTACCACCTCTGTGGAAAACAGTATGGAGATTTGTTAAAGAATGAAATGTAGACTTTTATCTACATTTCCATCAATCCCACTACTGAACTGGTGAGTATCTACCCAAAGGAAAAGATGTCACTATCTTAAAAGGACACCTGCACATGTATTTCTCACAGCATAATTCACAATTGCAAAGATATAGAGCCAATGTAAGTGTCCATCAACCAATGAGTGGATAAAGAAAATGTGGCAAATACACACCATAGAATATTACTCAGCTATAAAAAAGAATAAAATAATCTGTTTTGCAGTAACTTGGATGGAGCTGCAGGCCATTATTCTAAGTGAAGCAACTCAGGAATGAAAAACCAAATACCATATGTTCTACTTATAAGTGAGAGCTAAGTTATGAGTATAAAAAGGTATACGAAGATAGTAGTATAATGGAATTTGGAGACTCAGAATTTGGCAAGGTCAGGTGAGGAATAAAAAACTACATGTTGGGTACAATGTGCACTACTTGGATTACAGGTACACTGAAATCTAAGACTTCACCACTATACAATTCATCCATATAACCAAAAACCACTTGAACCCCAAAATCTATTGAAGTAAAAAAATTTATTAATCAAATTAAATTAAAGTATTTATTGAGACAAATAAAAATGGAAACACAACAAAACAAAACATATGGGATAGAGCAAAAGCAGTCTAACAGGAAAGTTTATAACGATAAACATCTACCCCAAAAAATATCTCTCTCAAATAAACAACCTAATGTTGCACCTCAAGGAAGTTGAAAAACAAAACAAACAACATAAACTAGTAGAAGGAAGAAATAATAGAGATCTGAGCAGAAACAGAGAATACAAATACATAAAAATATCAATAAAGCAAAGAGTCCCTTGAAATGATAAACAAAATAGACAAACCTATAGCTAGACTAAGAAGAGAGAAGACTCAAATAAAATCATAGATTAAAAAAGGAGAAATTACAACTGATGCCGCCGAAATACCAAGGATCATAAGAGACTGCTGTGAACAACTATACCTTAACAAATTAGATAACCTAATAGAAATGAATAAATTCCTGGACACATACATTCTACCAAGGTTGAATTATGAAGAAATCTAAAATCTGAACAAACTAATACTCAGTAAGGAGATAGAATCAGTAATAAAAAAATCTCCTGGCTGGGCACAGTGGCTCATGCTTATAATCCCAGCACTTTCGGAAGCCAAGGCAGGTGGATCACCTGAGATTAGGAATTTGAGACCTTCCTGGCCAACAAAAAATGACCATATGAGGCAATCCATTTGCTAATTAGCTAGATACAACCATTCACATATATATTCTTCAAAGCATCATGCTGTACATGATAAATACATACAGTTTCATCTGTCAATTTTAAAAGTAAAAAAGAAAGGATGAAATTAAGCATTATTTAATACATGGACTGACAATTGCACGTCTCCATAATACACATATATTGGGGGCACACATGCGCATTTACTACTGATAGGGATGTAAGATCAAAGCAAGCTCAGAGACCTGTGGTTTTTGAGGGGCCTTCAGAACTGATGCAGCCACCTCAAAGGCTAAATGGCAGCATGCTGGTTATTTGTGAGTACTGTACCTTCACAATGTGGGAATCCAATCTGTGACACAATCTGTTTCAAGGTCAATTTGTTGCTCTTAAGCCCATGCAGTTGAAGCCATGTCTCAGATGAAATGAGCCTCTGCTCAGCTAAGTCTGTTTTGGTGTTACTCCATCCCTCTTGCCTCTGCAGCTGCTGCTCAGAAATGGTAGAAGAAGATGAGCCTGATTTCTCCATCTCTGGATCAAGATCTAAGTCACAGCAACCTCCTGTAAGGGCAATTGTAAAGTCAGATTTCCTGAAAACTTGGAAATAATCTAACGCCAACAGAGGACTGGCTTAACATAAATTACAGTACACTCATGAAGTGGAATTCTATTTATCAGTTAAAATTATAGATGGATATTTGGTAGAAAAGAGAATAATCACATGAATTGCTAAGAGGTATCCATAAAGTTCAGTATTCAAATGTATATATACACAAAAACTTTTAGAAAGATATACCACAACAGGTTTAGAGTACTTTTTTCTGTGTGGTGGTAGTATGTGTGGTTTTTGCCTTTTCTATATTGTTGAAATTTTTGCATTATTTGAATATTTCTAAAACGGGATTTACTTTTCTTTCTTGAGACAGAGTCTTGCTCTGTCGCCCAGGCTGGAGTACAGTGGCATGATGTTGGCTTACGGCAACCTCTGCCTCCCAGGTTCAAGTGATTCTCCTGCCTCAGCCTCCTGAGTGGCTGGGATTACAGAAGTGTGCCACCACGCCTGGCTAATTTTTTGTATTTTTAGTAGAGACAAGGTTTCACCAGGTTGGTCAGGCTGGTCTCGAACTCCTGCCCTTGTGATTCGCCCACCTTGGCCTCCCAAAATGCTGGGATTGCAGGCATGAGCTACCACACCTGGCCAGGATTTATTTTCATAATCAGAAAACTACAAAGCTCTTCCATTTTCAAAAAAAATAAACACTTGCTCCAGAACCTTCACCACACATCTATATTCCAATTACAATCACACCTCATTGCTCCCAATGAGGATGAGAAGGATAAAACCCTGACAGGTTTTATGAGTCGAACAGGTTAGTGGTTAATTGGGAGCTGGTGGCAGCTGGGAACCAGAGCACAGCTCAGCCCAGCTAGAATACATGTATCCACTTTCTGAATGTTTTATTGTCTGGAGTTTTGCTCTACAATTGGACTTAAGCATTGTGGCCCATGTAGCCGTCTGTTCTGGGATCAGCTGGACCCAAGGCCATGTGCAACATATTAAGTGTATCTAGACCTGCCTAAATATAGCTAGTGTAAGCAAGAGGGAAGGATGGGGCCAAACTATAATGCAATCTTAACCTGCTCACCACAACTGGGCAGGTGACCTGGAGGAAGTGTAGAAAGTTCTGCATACTTCCGTATCCAGACTTCTCAATGCATGTAAACTGATACCCTGAATTGTAAAACTTTTAACAATGAAAACATGTTCTTGCCCTATTTCTAAAACTTTAACTGTATTTCCTAAAAGTTTCACTGTCATGACATGAAAATTCAAATGCAAAAATCAGTTGGACCAAGTCAGAGAGGTTTTATACAAAGAAGTTAGAAGTGTCATTAGCAAGCACTTATTTAACATCAAGTTATGTGCAATTTACATTTAATCCTTATAATAACCTTAGGAGGCAGGTACTACTCTTAGTTTCATTTTACAGATGAGGAAACCGATACAGACAGGGGTTAATTAACTTGTCCACAATCTCACAACTAGTAAGCGCTGGAGTTGAGATTCTAAACCAGGCCATTCAGCTTCAGGGTCTGCATTTTGTGATCTTTAGTGTAATAGAAGCAATGCAGCCACTTCCATTTGTTGGTCCTTTTATATGCTCCAGCTCACAGCTTCTTCATAACCGTATCAGCTACTCATTAGTAACACCACTTATATTTGAGGAATCAGAAGCTTTGAGGATTTAACGAACTTGCTCACAGGTTCTGCCACAGCCAGTAAGTAAGAAAAGCAGGAGTCAAAGCCACTTCTTAACCACTCTGCTCTCCTTACCATTAACCTCCTCCAGCCAGGTCTTACGGGACAAGCCAATCTGCTTTCCAGTAGGACTGCATTCTCATAGGGCCCCAGGTCCTCATCAGAATGCTCATCTTTATTCTCAAAGCTCAGACTCACTAAGCTTCTTGGCTTATCATTCTCAAAATTTTAAAGATAATGAGGCTGGGTGCAGTGGCTCATGCCTGTAGTCTCAGCACGTTGGGAAGATCGCTTGAGTCCAGGAGTTCAGGACTCCCCTGAGCAACATAGTGGAGAACTCATCTCTACTAATTGTTTTTTTTAATTAGCCAGGTGTGGTGGCGCTGTAGTCCCAGCTACTCAAGAGGCTGAAGCAGGAGGATTGCTTGAGCCCAGGAGTTCAAGGTTGCAGTGAGCTCTAATTGCACCACTGCACTCCAGCCTGGGCAGCAGAGTGAGACCTTGTCTTTAAAAAATTAATTTCCATTTCAAGGTTTATGTGAATTTGTATTGTCCACATATGTTGGGTTATAAAGGTATACAAATTACTATGATTGGTGAAGATCTGTCCTTCTTTCTACAAAGGCTCAATTTGATGAGAATGTTACAATATTATTTGGAGAGCATCATGTAGGAGTGGAAAAGTTTAGAATCAAAACTCAGTGTAAACCCATTCTGCCACTTTAAGGTGATTCCACCTCTCTAGGATAGTGATACCACCTGCACACCCTAACTGCCAGGGCTATTCAAGGAACAGCTGTGCTGATGTATAAGTTATGTGTAGATATGCATTTTACATATTGGAAACAGCTATGTACAAATAAATGATCCAAAAGTCATGGTTCCTTAGTCATTGTATTTTGTTTCATAGACCCACTTTTTTAATCCCCAAGCCTCCAATCATATTGAGCTAGAAAGTTTAGAATCACAGAACATGAAAACAAGGGCAGACTAATATGCTTCAACTTTCTTCTGAGGATCTTTCCACAAAGACTGGAGCTGAAAATCTTTTAAATTTGGTTGGTTGTTCCAAGAAACCAGAAAGGGAGACTCAGAAGATATTTTTTTTAACTATTTCATCATTTCAGTTAATTTTGCCCTTTCCTGAAACACACTCACCTCCTACAATATTCTTGCTGAAGGGAGTACTAGGTTTAAAAGGGAGCACTTTTACATAAATTGCCCTAATAAGATTTTGTAAAGTGGATTTTGGAAACTTAAGGAGGAGTTCAGAAGAGTCACAGGTGTTGTTTTTAAGCTAAAGGGACACGTTTTTGATCTCAAACAAAAGGCAATCAAAAATTCTCCAGCATTGCTAAGGTGCATGCCCCAGTCCCTTTTGCACTCATATGACTTTTTTAAAAATTAATTTAAAAAATTAATTTAAAAAAGTGAGGGCAGGGGGGTGGGAATTGGCTCTACTGGATCTAAGAACCTGAATGGTTCAGTCTGATTCAGATCTTACCTCCAGGGTTTTCTAGCCTGAGAATATTTGTATTGTCTGAAATGAAAGCAGCCAGGAAAAAAAAAAAAAAAAGGACGTAAAGGGGGAAAGCGAGAAAAGGCATCTCTCAACAGAAGGAATCATTTCACTCAAGCGGGATAGGAACTATTCTGTCAGAGCAAGGAAGCCTGCTGAGGGCAGGGACCTAACAAAGTAACCCCCTTCTCCCCACTGCACCCCTAGTAGCTCACCTGCTTTTCCACCTCCATGCTGGTCTCAGATGGCTCTCCTATTCGGACTCCTAGCCTGCAAGGCTCGTTTCAAATGCTGCCTCCACCATTAAGCCTCCCCAGAACTCCTTAGCAACATTCTGCAGCCCCTCCCTGGGAAAACCCTAACTTTTGCTTTGATATATCATCTCTATGGTCTTGGGTACTTCAGGCTTGTCCTAGCTAGACTTAAAGATGGTTCAGCTCATGCCTGTAATCCCAGAACTTCGGGAGGTCAAGGCGGGCGGATCACCTGAGGTTGGGAGTTCAAGACCAGCCTGACCAAAGTGGAGAAACCCCATCTCTACTAAAAATACAAAATTAGCTGAGCACGGTCGCACATGCCTGTAATCCCAGCTACTCAGGAGGCTGAGGCAGGAGAATCACTTGAACCTGGGAGGCAGAGGTTGCAGTAGCCAAGATCTCACCATTTAACTCCAGCCTGGGCAACAAGAATGAAATTCCGTCTCAAATAAATAAATAAATAAGACGGTTCAATGACTGCAGAGACAAACTACAGGAAGATTCTCAGCACAGGGCCTCATACCCAGCAGGCACTTTATGTGAGTTGAGATGAATAAAATTGATCACTCAGATTTACTGAGAGAATCCTGATCTTGTTCAAAGAAGGCAAATATTCATAGTGTTAATAAGACTAATATCAGGAAACAGCTCTTTAAAAAAAGGGATATATTGGCTGTTCGTGGTGGCTCACACCTGTAATCCCAGCACTTTGGGAGGCCAAGGCGGGTGGATCACCTGGAGTCAGGATTTCGAGGCCAGCCTGGCCAACATGATGAAACCCCACCTCTACTAAAAAATACAAAATTTAGCCAGGTGAAGTAACACACGCATGTAATCCCAGCTACTAGGGAGACCGAGGCAGGAGAATTGCTTGAATCCAGGGAGCAGAGGTTGCCGTGAGCCGAGATCGTGCCACTGCACTCCAACCTGGGCCACAGAGTGAGATGCTATCTCAGAAAAAAATAAAGGTGATATATTATTTTCTGGCTAAAACTATGCTATTTATTTATTTACTTATTTACTGTTATTCAGAGTTTCCTCAGCTGAGATTATTATAAATTAGGAAACCAAAGAACCCAGAAGTTGGAAACAACATAACAACATACCCAAGTTGAACACTGCCCTAAGGTTTTTTTTTTTTTTCTTTTTTTGAGACAGAGTCTCGCTCTGTCACCAGGCACCAGGCTGGAGCGCAGTGGCACGATCTCAGCTCACTGCAACCTCTGCCTCCCAGGTTCAAGCAATTCTCCTGCCTCAACCTCCCAAGTAGCTAGGACTACAGGCATGCGCCACCACTCCCAGTTAATTTTTATATTTTTAGTAGAGACGGGGTTTCACCATGTTGGCCAGGATGGTCTCGATCTCTTGACCTCGTGATCCGCCTGCCTCGGCCTCCCAAAGTGCTGGGATTACAGGCATGAGCCACCGCGCCCAGCCACCCTAAGATTTTGTTTCTTTTTTTTTTTGAGACAGAGTCTCACTCTGTTGTTGCCCAGGCTGGAGTGCAATGGCGGGATCTTGGCCCACTGCAATCTCCACCTCGCAGGTTCAAGCAATTCTCCTGCCTCAGCCTCCCAAGTAGCTGGGATCACAGGCATGTGCCACAATCGTCGGCTAATATTTGTATTTTTAGTAGAGATGGGGTTTCACCATGTTGGCCAGGCTGATCTTGAACTCCCGACCTCAGGTGATCCTCCTGCCTCGGCCTCCCAAAGTGCTGGGATTACAGACGTGAGCCACCATGCCAGGCCAACATTGCCTTAAGTTTTAAAGGCCATCCCAAGAACCATACAGAGTTTGGGGAAGTAGGAAAGTGTTTCCTTAGAAGAAGAAGGAAGTGTAAAAGGAAAAACAAGGAAGTGAAAGTCTGAGCTGAAGATGTGAGCAGGCAAAGCTTTGGGGAAAACAGAAAGGTTAAGCTGGCAACAGTCCCAGGGCCTCAGCTATCTGAAACGGATGTTCCTGGGCTTCCCTGGGCTACAGTCTTGTGAAGTCCTCATGCCCTTAGAGAAAAGGTCGTATGTGCTCAGAGGTTCAGGGACAGTGCTGGGTTTAGAGTCCATTAATCCAGTTTAGACATTCAGTAAGCTTCTAGCTACTTTATTATCAACACCTTAAATTTCCTATATCCCTGTTAGTTTCTAAAAAAGAAGTCTGGGCTAGGTGGATATCTCTCGTGATTTAAGTGAATTTGTGAACAATGATTGTTCCAGGAAGAAAGGAAACTGGGACAAAGCTTCATGATGCATCCTGATGCAACTGTTCCCCAGAAAACCTTAAATCTCCCCCCATTTTTTCTGCCCTTAAGAGACAAGTCTTGGTTGTGATCATTGGCTCAAATAATGTGGACAGAGACAAGGATATGAAATGGACTGTCCTACGGTTGAGAAAATAGTCAAGAAGAGAAAATCCGAGACTACTTGGAGTGCTTTAGCAGGGAAGGTCATTGCTGAGAAGAAACGGAGAGCTTCCAAGAAAATGAAAGGGAAAGCTCTACCAAATAGAAACTAAACTTACCTATTAAGTGTTATTCCCATAAAAGAAGGGTGAGAGAAAGTGATATGATTGTGAAACCATGTAAGTGTGGAATAGGAGGGAGCCAGAGGCCTTTCCAGGACAGAAAGTTGTGGGGAGCTTTATTGCAAGCAGATAGCTTTGGCTTTTAAACTATACATAGTTATCATTATGTACAAAAAATGTGTTTATTCTGGTTCCTGTGTTCCCTCCGAAGCCCAGGCAGACTTCTTCATCTTAAACTGCTGGCCTGTGGCATAGACAGAAACTAGGAAACCCGCTTCTCCACCAGAGCAGCTGGGCGTGGGCTGGGCTGAGGCGCGATGGAAAGAGCTCTAGAGTAGGAGAGGTCAGTACCTTGACCCTCGGCTTGACCCGGGTAGCAGACGGTTAAGTGGGCCAGGGCAAGTCACCGAGATTTCCTGGTACTGTTTCTGCGTCTGTAAAGTGGGCATGTAGTCCAGTTCGGAGATGGGATCCTTCCAACACTTCCCTGGGCGGCTCGTTGGAAGGCTGGGCACCTCGGCGGCTCTGGCGCGGCAGGGATCGCTCCCACACTTACTAGGCAATATGTCGGGTGGAAGACGAGGCGGCTCCCGCTCAGGAGCTACCCTCCCATCCTCCCGGGCCCGCCTGACCCGAGAGGGCGGGCGAGGTAAGCGTCCCGAGCTGGTGGATAAGGCAGCGATTCCGGCGGGCGAAGGCTGCGCGCCGGGGGCGAAGGATTCCAGCAGTTCGAGGTCTCTGTGACCCGCGCCTCTGGTTCCCAGCGCGGCAGGTTGACGACGGCGTCTCCGCGGTTGCCTGGACACGGCCAATCACAGCGCGCCTCCCGGAGCCGGCCCCGCCCACAAAGCGCTCCCTCAGTGGTGGGGGGGCTGGCTGGGGAACCCCGGGCCGAGGAGGCGGGGCGCCGAGGTAGTCCGCGAGTCAGGTACGGAAAGCTGGGGTCCAGGACCACCCGGCCCGGGACGACCTTCACTCTCTACTTCCAAGTAGAGGCCACGCTAGAGGGACAGAGCGGATGTCCTTGCCCTTGCGCCTACTGTCAGTGGGAAAATTAAAAACAGCGGAGAATATGAATGAATGAATTAACAAATAAATACACCGATGAGCTGGAGCAGAAAGCCAGGGTGCTAGTAGATGGAGGAGGCAGAGGCAGAGGAGAAGCCAGGAGACTGCGGGGAGCGCTACAAACGAACTTCTGTTCATACTTTTCAAGGTGCAGAGCATGGACCCCTGCGTAGTTTTAATTTTCACCTCAGCACTGGGAGGCGATGCTCTCTTCCTTGTGCAGTTCAGGGAAAGAAGCTTTAAAAGAGGTGGGGCAGTTCGTTGTAGCTCAGACACTGGACGTGGGCGGAGCTGAGACAGACGGGAGGGACAGCGAGCTGCAATTTTGCAATTGTGGAGGCAGGGGCTGTAGTTGCCAAGAATATTCTTACGTGTTTGACATGACTATTCCTATAGGCATTATTTTCTCCATTCAGCTTTGTTTCTAATCTTTGTTTCACTGTTACCTTATTAAGTAAGCAAAAGGCTCTAAATATATTCGTTTTTTTCCAGTCACCAGGAAATAAAATTGTGCTTATGAAAAGCATCTTTAAAAATCTTAATAAAAGATCCCACACTAAGTAATGTTTTTAGGGTATTGGGATAGTAAACGATTTTACATTTTAAAATTGAAAAACTGACCAGATCATTTGCAGGTTTTCTGGTCAAAGATCTGATAAAACATAGTTAATGTTAGAACTGAGTCATTCTGTCCCCAAAATAAAAGGCTGCTTCATCCACAGGGATTTATTTCCCCTGCATTCTTTTAATGCCTCTATCATTTAAAAAGTACTGAAAGATTTGATTCCATATCACAAATCATTCCTGGCAGTTATTAGAGCATATGTGTTTGGCCCTGTAAATGAAACCTTCCATCCACACCACCAGAAAACAAACAAAAGCTTGATAGTACTGAAGACTGTTCAGAAGGGAGTAGTATACCAGCTTCATCCATATTTGTTAATCCTTGCTGTTCACACCCGGCCACACTAATATTCCTGGGTCACGGGGGTGAGATAGAGCACACAGCAACACACAGCCAAATGCCCCGCCTCACATGGTCATGCCAGGCACACCTGTTCCCACCTTCACCCCATGCCTGCTCCTTTCCCTGGGACACCTGCCACATACATGCAAGTCACCAAGATGATCTGTCACTGTCTTTGATGTTTATGTGCCTATAAGCATACATTCTGATGAAAATGTTAAACATCACTTACTTAAATTGTAGAATGATAAGTGAGGAGAAGTTTAAGGTCATTTTGAAGCATTACATAGTTGATGTGGACTTCAGTTTAGCTAGTTACAGAATGGTTTTCCTCATTTTTGTTTGTTGTTATTTAAAATAAGGAAACATTTAGTACGTGGTGATATACTATTATACTGAACTTTTGACACACTTGTTTTGAATTTACATTTTTACAGATAATTTGTATCTTTCCTTCAACCTCAATGATTAACATTGATCAAATCACTGCCATCCTTGATGTCAAACCTCTGGACTTTACCTTTCAGGGCTCAGATTTTACTTTCAGATTTCTTGCTCATTGCCTCCAACACAGACCCCCATCCCAGAGAGACCTGCCTGGTCCCTGCCTCTGAGCAGATGCCTTTGCTCAGGCCACCCGGATTGCCACCGTTTGGGAACCATAGTCCCTTCATGGTCAGGTCTAGCTCTTCTCTCTCCCCCCAAAGCCTTCCCATGGGTACTGGAGCCCTAATAACTTCTCTCCCCCTGTCCAGTCTCAAAGCATGCTTGCTGGTACCACACTCTTGGCAACAATGTACAAACCTTTGACAAGCTTTTCATTGTTATTTGACCTTTGTGCTGTTTACTTTTCAGGTTGAATGGGTTTTCCTTTTCAAGCCTATCACTGCCATGGCTTGGGCTTATGGCCATGATCAGAATGTTTGGCAGGGGAGGGAGGGTGATAAGAAAATGAAGGAAGGAAAAGTAGTTTTCCTAAGCCCACTGCAAAAACTAGAACCAGAGGAAATGGATAATGTTACCTCAAGGGAATTGTATATATGTGTGAGAAAGAAACTGAGATGGAATTAAAACAGAGGCACTCCCTCTGAAGAGGAAGGAGGAACTGAGGGAGTGAGGCAGCTAAATCAGGAAGCAGTTCCTGCTGAACCTTTGTTAGCTCTTGCAGCGAAGGGAGTTTTGGCCATTAGGGACAGCTTTGGGGGAAATGGGTGGGGACAGAGGGAGGTAGAGATGAAACAGAGGTTTGTCTGTGCTGTGATGTTCCCGAGTTCGGCATTCGTTACTTGGAAGCGTGAATGCAGGCTTGTGGCTCTCAATCTAACATCTTTCATGAAGAACAGAGCTTGTTTTCTACCCTTGTCAAAGTGTTCACTTTTACCAGAATGAATTAATACTTAATCATAGCTAGAATGTATTGAATGTCAGACCATGTTCTAAGCACTTTAAATATGTTACATCATTTAATGCTTGGAAACGCTCCATGAGGGAGACATCATAGTTATCTCCATTTTCTAGATAAGTAAACTGAGACAGAATATTAAGCTACTTCTCCAAAGGCCACTCAGCTAGTGATTCTGGAATTTGAACTTAGGCAGCCTGACTCCACACCCTGCCCTGTTAATTTTATGCTGTGTTGATCAACTGTTGGCTTCAGTTTTTCTCCAAAAGGAAATTTCTGTCATCTCAGTCATACAGTGTTCATTTAGTGCTGGATATTGATGACACAATGAAATCCTCCATGGATTTAAATATTTAAATGGGTTTTTAACGGAACATATTTCAACTTTAAATGGCATTAAGCAGGTCTGTTTTTAAATTACTCTCTCTGGAGGGGCACGGTGGCTCACGCCTGTAATCCCAGCACTCTGGGAAGCCAAGGTGGGTGGATCACCTGAGGTCAGGAGTTCAAGACCAGCCTGGCCAACATGGTGAAATCCCGTCTCCACAAAAATATAAAAATTAGCTGCACATGATGGCAGGTGCCTATAATCCCAGCTACTCGAGAGGCTGAGGCAGGAGAAACACTTGAACCTGGGAGGCAGAGGTTCCAGTGAGCCGGCATTGCGCCACTGCACTCCAGCCTGGGCAACAGAGTGAGACTCTGTCTCAAAAAAAAAAAAAAAAAAATTACCCTTCCCTCCCACACTTCCTGTTAACCATTGGCTTTGTAATGTGGCATTATTTTAAAAATGAGCTGGATGCCTTGTAGGCTACTAACATATCCCAACAGCAAATTAAGAAGAACTGAACAATATTTTATATAAACAAAAACTCTCAAACATTTGGAAATTGAAATCACTTTTCAAAGTAGATATTGATACTAAAACCTAGCAAAGGCAATAGTATTAGGATGACATTTTGATCTTATGGGAATGATATCAGGAAGGGACTCAGTCTTTCCTGGGCGTGGCCATCATCCTTCTGCAGTTCCTGAAGATGAGTAGCACGATAGACAATGGCAGAAGGTGATGAGGAATTTCCTGACTTTAAGTGATTCTAACTCTAGTACAGGGTGACCTGGCTATGTTGGCACAGGACTTGGGCACTAGTCTGGAGGCTTTCTCCCTTCTAAACTCAGATCTTTCGACCAGCTCCTTGTCAAGACTATGAGGGTGAACGTATAACACTGCTTATGCAGGAGGAAGAGAAATGAGAGGGTCTGTCTATAATAGGAGATCAGCAGTTTGTCTGTCCTCCCTTCTTCCTGAGAAAGAGCGAAGTACCAAAGAGAGGGCCACACAAGGGTTTATAGCTCATAAATTTGGCACCATCATCACCCTGTAATCTCATTCAATTATATCACTGTTCCCCCTTTCTTGAGGAGTGAAGAGAAAAAGAATTTAACATTAGAAGAATTAGAGCATTCTCACTGATCAATATAATTGTAAAAATCCTAGGTAAAAATAAACTGAATTCAATGNTTTCACCATGTTGGCCAGGATGGTCTCGATCTCTTGACCTCGTGATCCGCCTGCCTCGGCCTCCCAAAGTGCTGGGATTACAGGCATGAGCCACCGCGCCCAGCCACCCTAAGATTTTGTTTCTTTTTTTTTTTGAGACAGAGTCTCACTCTGTTGTTGCCCAGGCTGGAGTGCAATGGCGGGATCTTGGCCCACTGCAATCTCCACCTCGCAGGTTCAAGCAATTCTCCTGCCTCAGCCTCCCAAGTAGCTGGGATCACAGGCATGTGCCACAATCGTCGGCTAATATTTGTATTTTTAGTAGAGATGGGGTTTCACCATGTTGGCCAGGCTGATCTTGAACTCCCGACCTCAGGTGATCCTCCTGCCTCGGCCTCCCAAAGTGCTGGGATTACAGACGTGAGCCACCATGCCAGGCCAACATTGCCTTAAGTTTTAAAGGCCATCCCAAGAACCATACAGAGTTTGGGGAAGTAGGAAAGTGTTTCCTTAGAAGAAGAAGGAAGTGTAAAAGGAAAAACAAGGAAGTGAAAGTCTGAGCTGAAGATGTGAGCAGGCAAAGCTTTGGGGAAAACAGAAAGGTTAAGCTGGCAACAGTCCCAGGGCCTCAGCTATCTGAAACGGATGTTCCTGGGCTTCCCTGGGCTACAGTCTTGTGAAGTCCTCATGCCCTTAGAGAAAAGGTCGTATGTGCTCAGAGGTTCAGGGACAGTGCTGGGTTTAGAGTCCATTAATCCAGTTTAGACATTCAGTAAGCTTCTAGCTACTTTATTATCAACACCTTAAATTTCCTATATCCCTGTTAGTTTCTAAAAAAGAAGTCTGGGCTAGGTGGATATCT